TTCCTGAGTTTCCTGTCATATTCAGGGTTTCTACTTTCGTATTGACCGAAACTGGCTATATTATGGTCGTAAAACATACCTATGAGCATTCCCTTGAGTAATATACCTTTGTTCGTCAGTGCTTTTTGATTGGATAGACTAATATGGATGCCACTCAAACAGAGGATTTCATCCTCAAGGGAATGATGTTTGGTCTGAAATGAGAAAACATTGGGTCTATTAGATGAGATGAAGAACAAGAAAGGATTGTCTGCAAGAACCATGTTAAGTAGTCCAGATACTGGTTCCTCCTTTCTCAACTCTGCTTGCACAGGAGTTCAAAAAAAGCAGATAGAGTGAAGGAAGGAGGGCAAGTGTCTTGACTAGAAGTTACCATGTAAGACTTGCCACAACGATCTATCTTCCTCTCCTTGTATAACTAGTCATTCAAGAAAAGTGTGAATTTCTAGATTACAGCAAGCAAGTGATGAGGTTGAGAGAGTTACTGTGGAGTACATAATAATTCACTTTTTTAAACTTGTCCACAGATAAAAAATTCCACAGTCCCTACATATTTTACAAATCGTGCTCTCTGCCACCTAAAGCTTAAAAAATGGAACCAGGCTATACTAGACTCCCGACAGGCACTAGATCTTGATGGCAACCTTGTTAAGGCTCATTTCTTTCTTGGACAAGCACTTCTAGAACAAGAATGCTATGATGAATCAATAGCTGCACTAAAAAGAGGTAATGTCTCCCTTAGAGGGTCTTAATTTAACAAAAGATTTTTTTCCTTGATTCTTTTGCTATGTCTCGAATGACCAAGTAAAATGGTAGTGGCATCTCATTTGAAGATGTTTAACATAGATGGCCCATAATTTATCAGCGAAAATCCATGTAATTCCACTCTGTCATTGATTATGCATTCCCAAACAAAATCCCTAGATTTACAGTGTAGATATGGCTATGGTATTTGAATCTTTTTTGTGTTTTTTTTAGCATTTGACCTTGCAAAGGAGCAGAAACTAAACTTTGGGGATGATATTGCAAGTGCATATCGAATGGCAAAAAAGAGGGTACAGGATTATCATTATAGTATTAACATCAACTTTGTAGAATCACAAAGGATATCGATCGATCGGTGAAGTTCTTCTTCTTGTTTTTCTCATTCACTCTCATTTCACAGTCTTCACTTTCTTTCCCAGTCTTTATTGCCTTTGGGCTGCTACATTTTCTAGATTTAACTCAAGGGCTTGATTAAGTGGTGACTTTGCCACCCCACTTAAAAATAGAAATTTATTGTATTTTGAAATTCAGATGAAACAATATGCTGGCTTTCTAGGTAACAGCCATCCCTTGGAATCATCCTAGATCTGATACTGTTTTAACCATGTTATTAAATATTGTAAGTGGTACCTACTGCTTTGGTATATCTTCATTTACTATTATTTTTCTTCAAGAGGTTTGCTGTTGCAGAAGAAAAAAGAATATTACAAGAAGTAGAACTGCAAAAATATTTAAATAAACTGGTTATAGAGGATAGGGAAAGGTAAGGAATACACTGTACACCAATAGAAATATGGTAACCAATTTAAAATAACAATTGTTCTAAACTTCTTACCCAATCCCTTTGCTCTTCACATTCCCTGTGGTACATAGTCTCCAGTGTGCCATTAGGGGCTGTCAGTTGCTGGATGGCTGTCATTAAGGAGTTGGTGTCTTGTAAAGTACAAAAGGCAAATTAATCATTAGGTCAATGGGGGTCCAGATAATGAATGAGAATATAGAACAAAAGGAGTGTCCTAACATCCACCCCACCCCCACCCCCACCACCCCCTATGAGACACATACAAATCCACACTCTTCTTATGGATTTACAAAACAGCTTATTACATATTTTTATATCTTTTAAAACATCAGATCTATAGCTGCCATGAAAGAAAGTACACTTGATGATGAAGAAAAAGATGCAGAAATTCAAAATATTGATCATGAAGCTGTAAGTGTAGTTTGAAGTGAAGTGAAATCTAATGAGAAGTGGTTTAGGAAAACATTTTTGAAAAAAAATCAGACTTCCAATATTTTTGTCTCTAATTTTTCTTTTAAAATGAAGTGAAATCAATTGTAATTTATAAATAGCCTGTTTTCTGAAACCAAATGAGTTCATAATCTTAGAACATACTTTTCAGTGGTAAGCCAATAAATTATTTTACAATTATTTTCTTCATTCTTTGTTTTGTACTTTTTTGTCTTTTTAGGAAAAACGATTGTCTCAAATCAGTGACTTATTTGCTGAAGTTGATGATAGACGGAAGGTAAAGTTGATTAAAAACTGTACTTGTAGATCAACAGCAGCATTTGATTTAAATTTATTGTTCTCACTACGATCATCTTAAAAAGTACATTTTCAAACCCATAGACCTTTGACTCAGACCTTTTGAATAGCGCAGCGCAATTGTGACGTCATAAGAACGAAGACAAAGACGAAATTCGAACAAACAAACTTACAAGTTTACTTTCAGCAGATAATTTTCACAGCTGATTGCAGTTGATCTTAGTTTACATGGGTTATTATTGTAACTTTAAGTAAAAATAATAAAATCAGTTCGTATAATCCTTGTAGCAGTTAAACAGAATGCAATGTTTTCCAAATCTTTAAGCTATTTTTAGAATCAGTGCGCTGTGCTATTCATACAATACCACTGTGTTCTTTGATTACTTGCTCATTTACGCAGGTTTAGCCTCATTTTAAAATATTCTAAAATACTACATGTATAGTGAAGTATAGGATGCACAATTTCAACGATACGTCAAACACATTAAAATCCCACAAACCTTCACTAGAAAACACACAAAATCGAAGCTAGAGAGGGATCCAGAAATTTGAATCTGTAGGGTCACCAAGCTGTGAATTTTATCTATTCTCTTTCTCAGAAAAGAGAGGTTCCTGATGCTCTTTGTGGAAGAATAAGCTTTGAAATTATGAAAGATCCTGTGATTACTCCAAGTGGAATAACGTATCCTTTGACACTTTAATATTACATTAGGAATTTTTTTCTAAAAAGATGGATGAATTTTCCTTATATTGCACTAACCAGGTCAGAACACTAGGAAATGGATATCATGGGTGGATTTAGGGGTGGACCAAAGGGGCCATGCCCCCCCCCCCCCATTTTTTTTGGCTAGTTATAGAGGTTCCTTTAACATCAAAGTTCTTAACCCCCTATCTCCAATTCATAGAGGCTCCTCTAACTCTGAAGTTTCATCGTATATTTCCTGGATCTTCCCCCTGGAAATTATGAGTTTGGATGTGTGTTTGGGAGCTGGGGGAAAGGGGTTTCGGAGTGGTGGAAAGATTGAAATACTTGGAGTAAAAATGGGAAAAAGTGGCTGTAAATCCAGTAGGTCACTCTGGTAAAAATGCAAAGATCTGTTCTTGACAATGGTTTAGATATGACAAGAAAGTCATTGAGGAACATCTACAGGTATGGCACTGTGTACTTATTGTCACAGCATTTTCATAAAACCAAAAACAAATTGCTCTGCTTCCATTAACTATTTGCAGCTTTTTGCATCTAAAGAGGCTGCTTGAAAGTCAAAAAAAATGCCCAAGAAATTTCCCTTTTCATATTAGCATTTCTTTACTTTGTCTTCTTTCCTCTCTACCACCCTCTCCCTTTCTTTCTTTCTTTCTTCCTTCCTCCCTCCCATCTTCCACTCTTCTTTCTATTTCATTTACTTTTTGTTACTTTTTCTTTTCTTTCTCTTTTATTATCTTTGTTTTTCGCTCATTTTTCGTCTCTCGTTTATCTCTCCTTTTCCTTATCCTTGCTTCCTTTTTTCTTTTAATATCATTATATTTTCGTCCTTCACTCATTTTTTGTCTCGTTTATCTATCTTTTTTACTTAGCGTGTTGGCCATTTTGATCCTGTAACAAGAACAGACCTCAGACAAGAACAGCTTATCCCCAATCTGGCCATGAAGGACATCATTGATGACTTTGTGACAAAGAATGAATGGGTGGTAGCGGAGTACTAAGGGCCATCATGTTCCATGGTCATTGTCGCATGCACAGTACGCGCAGGTTTTAATCACGACTGCTTAATTTGGCAGTTGCAAGCCAGCCATTCGGCAATCTCACATTATATTGTATAGAAAAATAGAGATTTCTGAATATTCAATAAAGTTTTTCCTCTAACTTGAAATAGTCGATAATTTATTCCAACACATCTTCTACACTGGCTTCAGCTTAGCCATTACGTATTTTCTTTAGTTTTAGGGCGCTAAAGAAGATATGTTTAAAAAAAACTTTTTTGAACTCCAACATATGCTTTAAAAGTATCATACTCAATAGGCTAATTAACTATGAAGTAATATAAATAGTATCAAGAGTTTAAAATGTTGCACCACTCTATTGGGTACTGATGAATTTAAAAATATTCATACTGCACGAATGATTAAAAGGGAAAGTTAATTCGTAAGAGCGTTATCTTAAATGTCAAAAAAAATTTCACGAAAGGATTCAGTTTTGTGACATGGAGATTTTGAGTAAATTTGAGCTCGCGATGAAGTTCTAGCTGGAAAAAGAAAAGCTAGTTACCCGAGAGTTATAAAGTTCTTTCCCGAATATTTTCCTTTAAAATTTAAAGAAAAGTTTCAGGGGTTTTAAGACGTTACGGTTTTTAAATTTCAGCTAGTTACCCGAGAGTTATGAATTTCTTTCTTTCTCCTTTCTTAGGAGTATGCGTAGCTCAGTTGGTTAGTGAGCGACCTTCAGAGCTTGAGGTCCACGATTCGATCCTTGGGGTCTCCACGTCAGTTTCGACTTCTCTCTAATCCGTGTAGCTTCAGTTTTAAATACTCTTAAAACAGAGCACTGAGGGAGGGGGTGGGTAAAGTGCGCACCGTCGGCTTCCATTGATAGCAGTTGAATTTCAACTGAAGGAACTACCGACGTTAAATAAAGGTGCTTTACCTTTACCTCCCGCCCCCCCCCCCCCCAATATTCTCCTTCAAAATGTAAAAAAAATTACTTTATACAAGACTCGCCTTTTCTAAATTTTCATATATATATCTTTCGTAAAGCATTCATATCTTTAAGTTTAATAATTATGTTTATATACCAAACGTTGCCACGAAAGCGAAAATTTACATGTAAATATCATATCAGGAAAACGATAAATATTTCAGTTTATTGGTTTTTCCTTCGCATTAAGACGTTTTTTCATAATAATCCAAGTACTTTTACAAACAATACCAACAGTGGATCGTTGTTTACCGGAATCACAAACAAAACGGAATACCTGTATTTTATCATTCGAGTGCAAATTTTTATAACATCGATTATTAATGGTCTAAACTTGTCCTAAGGTATCCATAGCAACGTATCGGAACAGGTGAAATTTCTACAAGAGAAACAAGAATATTTTAAAAGTCGAAGGTACACCGACATGGACTTCTTATTTCTCATCCTTGTTTTCCTAAATTCTGGATTTCTATTCTCAGAGGTGAGTTAAATATTTTGTTTACTTTGAAAACTAAAACCAATTGGGTAGAAAATGTCGTACAAGTTGTCAAAAGTCTAAAAGTCGAGTTTCCAAAATAGAGTTGAGAAATAAAAGCTTCGTTCCAGCTAGTTTGAGTGTCAACTTCTTTATTCGTTTAGGACAAGTCTAAAATATTACACTATACTTGCTTTATTTGTAAATTTTTCGAGCTGTATGAGCTAAGGCGAAGGGCCACGAACACTTAACTTTATTTACAAAGTTCTTATTTTTGAGCATAACTGCCTTTCGATTTCGATTCAGAGACGTCCGGTGTTAATTTGGGCTTCTTCTTGCGATTGCTGTAATAATAACTGGCAATGTTCTGAATTAGTAATCCTTAAATAAGCCGCGTTTCCTAACGTACGAAATAAAAGCAACAACAAAGATAAGTAAGCATCAAAACAAATGAAATTAAGGAGAATTACAGTTGAAATCGAAACTGAAATTTATGACCCACTTTTTGGGGTTAGTTGCAAGAAGTATTTCGCACGCGCTGCAAACAAGACTAGGTCTAATTACTTTCACCTTGACAAGAACAAGAGACAACAACTCCTTGATCAACTTTAAATATTGTATTCTTAACAAAATGTATATATCAAGAAGTGTGGTAAACGGTTGATTTCAAATGCGTTAGACTTGATTAAAAACTTTTTTTAAGTCGTTGATCGTTAAGGCTAAGAAAGCCAAGAAGTACAGTTTGAGCTTCAACTATTTATTACTCCTATGCTCCCATAATCATGTTGTTTTTTTTTTTTTGTTTTTTTGTTTTGGACAAAACAGCTGCGTGCTTGGAAAAAAGACATAATTTTACATGTTTAATGATTATTAAGGAAAAAAATCGCTAAAATTTATCTTATAAAATTCCGTTAAGTGTTCTCAAGTTTTAAGTTTCTAGCTGTAAGTCTTCGTCAGGAATGGTTAATAAATCCTAGTTCAGATAGGAATAGTTAATAAATTAAATATTTTCTCAATACTCGAGATCTTCGTGTTGCATCGGATAAAGACGCCCGAAGTTCGGCAGTTTTTTCTTGAACTCAATTACATTTTGTATGTCAAATTTGTTTTTACGCAAGCCGCAAGCATTTTTCATTTTTCTTTCATGCCCAGAACACATAAAAGCGATCAGTCAATGTTTTACGACTGGACTTCATATCGAAGGAATATCGTTATCTGCGCATCAGCGAAAAAACAGACGTGCCGCTGTGAATAACGTCAGCGTTTTCAAAAGCTTCCTTTTTCGCTGCTTCCACACTATAGACTTCCGTTTTCAAATGTCACCACTCTGAAGGCCGTTTTTAAATGTATGCGCTTTCGATGAAAACGCTCTGACCGTTTTCGATCGTTCTGGTTTGGACGCAAGAGCAAGACGCATAAGGTGCGTTGCAAGTTGCAGAGAAAAGGTTGCTCGGATTACCACTTCGTGCGCATCAAATTTACATATATGTTGCAAAGAGTAGAGAAAGCTTCTACTTTGCGCAACGACTTGAAAATTTGTTTCAAGTGGAGTGGTAGTACGAGAAGCATTTCCTCTGCAACTTTAGGGAAGCATTTCCTTTGCAACATGCAAAGCAGCAATGTTGCGCGTTTTAATTTTGCTCGATTTATTTAGATTTCTTAATTTTGCCGCACCTATAAAAATGTATGCGTTTAATTTAAACGAAAACGTCTTAGTGTGGATGGGGCCTTAGCTATAGTCGAACAAATACCAGAATCGTAAAAAAGTTCTTTGTATTTTGTATTTCATACAGGCGGTTCGTCCTTCATTCTCTGTATTTGTGTCAGATGACTTTTTATTGGTTGGCCGAAGTGTCAAAATCACTCAAAAAACCACAGTGACCGAAGCAACTCCCTTTCGCTACAAGATCAAGCTGCCATTCAATGAGACAGCCTACATGAGGATATTAGGTCTTACTGTCCAGACCAATGACAGCCTGCAGATTACTGGCAATAAAGTGCCAAATTTGACGTCTTCCTCTGGGGATGAGAATCTTATAGACGAAGCAACATTTGACCTGGGTCAAGTGACGCCTAGTGGATCCATGGATATCGTAGTTACATTTGTGGTAAGTTGTTTATACATCTATTCACGTCTTTTTATTCAGTTCACTCTCCTCTTACCAGCTTGTGTCTCGTATTTGGTGCTTACCATTTAAACAAATCCATCCGGTTGGAAATTCACTTCCTAATGGAAAGAAAAGAACGGGAAACTTTGACTTTTAAAACACGCGTCTACCGGAAGAACCGAAAAGAGCGGTAAAAGTGGATTACTTCAAGTGGTAGGCCGAGTTATAAAAAAATAAAAATAAAAAATAAAAATTTTGGAAAATTACCCCAAAATTATGCATGATTAGAATATATCATGATGTTTTACATTTTTCTTTCCTAGGCGCAGCTCCTCGATCATCCAAAACTTACAAACGGTGAGAAAGTGTGGATAAGTATTGGGGCCGAGTTTACGAATGGATCCATCTGGGCCAATCAGCTTGCTGTTAGTGGCTTTAAGAACTTTGATCCTGAACCAGTCCTGAAAGGCAGTGCGCATGTGCCACAGATGGACCAGAATGAAGTAGTGACTGGGTAGGTGGATGGTTGTGTGTGTGTAAGTGTGTGTAAGTGTGTGTGTGTGTGTGTGTGTGTGTGTGTGTGTGTGTGTGTGTGTCATTAGAGGTGCATTTCAGTAAAGTAAATGAAGTAATCAAAGAAAGATTATTCACGGGAAGACAGACGAGCAGGTGGACAGACAGAGAGGCAGAGAAATAGACAGACAGACAAACAGACAGACAGATAGTCAAGCAGACTTGAAGATAGGAAGACAGTTACATAGATAGTCAAAGAGACACGGACAAGCAGACGGCAAGATAGGAAGCAGACAGAAAGACACACATTGACAGACGAACAGACAGACAGGCAAACAAGCAGTCAGACAGACACGCTTAAACAGACTGACAGACAGACAGACAGACAGGAACAACAGGCAGAGCCCGACCACAAACATGACTTAGAGACCCAACAATCATTCATAAATTCATTCAATGTTCTTTTTAGGTCGACCGTAGACATCAACTTCCGGTTGACCCACGATCCCATCAAGACCACGTCCATCGCAAGCGGCATCAACATCACATTCTTCCATCCTCCATACTTGGTATTTGATTCCATGGCAAAGGACCCCAAGTCGGTACACGCTCAAGTGATCAGTAACTCGATCAGCACACGAACTCTATCGGTATGTAATACTCAACAAACTCATTGGACTACCTGTGGCCTTTTTTGGTCGTCGTCTTACTTGATTTTGTACAATACCGCTGTGTTCCTTGATTACAGACTCACTTACTCAGGGTTAGCCTCGCATCAGTGTCTAAATGATTACAAATACCAACAGAAACGTAAAGAATGCATAATTTCAACAATGCACTTTGAAATTCCACGGACCTTCACTGGAACACATGAATATTCTACACAAAATCAAGGCTTACACCCTCAACAACAGATAACTCGTAACTAGATTGCACCCATGTTGCCCAGTGAAGCTCGGCGTTCAAAAAGCGGTCCCAAGGTCCCACTCGGCGCAGCAAGATTCCACGCATATATGAAATGGTCTTTTTCAGGTTGGCTCGTTTAATTTCTCCGAAGTTGCGCATTTCAACATGACCTTTCAAGTCGATCCTGCAAAAACTAAACCGAGAGGTCAGGTCCACGCAGCCTTCGTTCGCATCGAAGTGAAATATAGCTTTACATCACCCTTCTATCCGGACCCACGAGAGATGAACATGAAAAAAGCTTTGCAAAACACAATCAAGTTTTATCCTCAAAGTAAGTAATATATGTCAAAAAATTAATGGAAGAGATTGGATAAAAGGGATTTTTTTGTTCATGCTCATGCTAATCAGCGGGGTTCCTGTGGAATTGGCGGGAACTTTGGCGCCAAACGCCCGCGCTTGCCGCCTAAACTCTCGGACATTCGCTACGTAAGTGTGATATAGCTAAACTTAAGAAATTCATTTTATACAATGCATACTCAAACTTAAAAAATAGCTTTAAATATTTTGAACACGAGAATCATATATTTCAGGAGATTCTTGCGACGTAGCGCTGGCAGTAGCTGACGAAAATTTCGAAGCTTCATCGTACTCCACTGAGGGACCCCCAAAAGAAGGAAAGCTTAACGGACCAAAGGCCTGGGTACCAGTTACCGCTTTGAAGTAAGTAAACATAACACGCGAACTTAAAATCAGTGTAGTTGTTGCACATAAAGATTATAGGAGAATCAAATCTCTTAAGTCCAACTTGATGTTTTAGATTCGATTGGTCATTATATCATTATTTCATTTCGCGACAACTCTCGGGAATTGAAACAAGAATTTGTTTGGTGTTGCCTGCTCTAAAGACCGATTTACACGGCGCGATATTTTCCTCACGACTGTTGCGCGCAACATGCTGACAACACATATTTTTTCCCTGTAAATTGACCGATAACTCGCTAAAGACTATGAATACCAGATAATAACTGGAAAACTTGGTGTAAATGGTGTAAACCTGCTTTAATTGGGCTATTTATTTATTTATTTATTTATTTATTTATTTATTTTTTGGACCGTTAATCATTTAGCTGATCGGTCTTTCGGTTTTTAATTTAGCTTTTTTTAATTCATCTAACTTACCAGGAAAGATCGTAATCAGTTCATCGGGGTGAATTTCACGGGACTCAAGATCATCCACAGGATTGCAGTCCAGGGATCTGGTGACGGCCTCTCGACTTCCGGTTACGTCACTGGCTTCCGTGTATTCTACAGTAAAGACTGCGCGATGTGGACGCTCTACAAGAACAAGGACAACATCAAGGTATGATTTATTTTCACTTGTTAACATGACTGACTATATATTGATGGGTTGCAAGCATTCCCAAGAGAGTTAAAAGACAAAAACATGGCGGCCATTGTGGTACCGTTAACAATGGATGCTAATGAGAAATCTTTTGTTAAATGGCACCAACATGGCCGCGATTACGTAACGTGCAATCGAAGAATACAATACATACAACTAACACTTTTCAATCAAGGTTTCGACTTTTATCGCGTCCCGATCCAGATCTTCTTCTCATATTTTTGCCGCGCGCGCGCAGATAAAATTGGGTCCACTTCTGGACTAGGTTTTGAGTCCTGTTTTTATATAAGTTTTCTTGCACTCTTAAATAGGCAAGATGATTTTTGGTTGCAGCGTTTTATCTTATACCCTGGGTACCAGAGAGTAGGGGAATGGGGGGAGACAGTGTAGGGGGAGAAGCTTATCTTCCTCTCTTTCTCCTCCCCATTGTCCTCGAGCCTCTGGAACCCACAGAATTTATATCATTAAGCACGACACGTGATCACATTTTATGCATAGCGTACTTCTATGCACGGGATTTTTGGTCGGCCAAAAGAGCTTTTACATTGATAACCTAAACTATGCGAATAGAACTGTAAAAATATTAAATATTTTCTGCTTGAGAGTACGACCAAAGTGTTTCCAGAAAATAATAAGTCAAAAATACACCACGTTTGACTTTTATAAACTTGTATAAGGCTGATTGATAGACGGCTTATTGTAGTAGTAATAATGAGAATAGGCTTTATTTCGAGAGGGTAAACACATATATAACAGTAGTCAAAAAACACTGATGACTCTGTGGCCCTCAAAGTAGTCATTGTCTGAGGAAATTCGGTTTTAATCAATATTATATTTTGTATTATATTCCCGTTGAAGCTTGAAATCATTTTTTCAAGTCTTTCTTTACAGCGTTCGCTTAGATCGCTCATTCACTGTGATGATCAACACATCTATGATTATTTCACCACAGTTCTACCCATTCAATATTCACAATTATATTTTGTATTTACTAGTACCTGAAGGGCAACACGGCCGCCAACAAGATGAATGTCGTACCACTTGATCCTCCCATCGAAGCGAAGTGTATCCGCATCAACCCGACTGCGTTCAACAAGCAGATTAGCCTACGATTCGAGTTGTATGGCTGCGCATCGTCCAATCCAACTCCTGCAGGTAGGAATAACATTTGAAACACACAGTCGATATGAAACGTGTGTTTATAAAAAGCATTGCAACATTTTATGAACATTCCACTCGTTGTATCACTAAATACATCTAATTAACTGTACTTCCCTTGTACTAATTCGATCTCAGCTTCTCTGTTCTATGTTTTGACAATGATTTCGCAGTAGGACGTTTGCATGATGGCGTCATTTGACTCCCGCTACCAAGATGCTTGGAAAATTTTCTTTCATATTTAAATTTGTATTCCCTCATAGRAAAGTAAGACAATTGGTGCTAATTAACTGAACAAAAGAAAGTGTGCAAGGGAGTCTCGACTGGTAGTAGAGGTCAATGACGCCATCATGTAAACGTAATTTTGAGTGTTATATATGAGACTGAACGATGTATTGTTGTTTCTCTTTCCTAGCTCTTCTAAAGAGTCGTACCTTTCTTCTGGATACAGCCACCAATACCATCTATGCTTGCAACATCCCAATGCTCAAGTGAGTAAAGAAGAGACAGCCAAATGATATAGTAGGAGGGGAGGGGAGGGGAGGGGGTTAAATGAATATATAGCTACACGGTACCAGGTATGCTTACCATTTAACCAGAAAAAAACGGAAATTCCGGTTGGAAAACAATTGTTATGTATTCCATGGCCAATCGGAAAGTCTTAGAAAACTCGGTCTCAGTTCTGATTGAGGTAATCCACTTTTCCCGCTCTTTTCGGTTCTTTCGGTAAACGCGTGTACCATTTGTCGGTTGTCAAAGTTTCCCGCTCTTTTCTTACCATTAGAAAACGAATTTCCAACCAAATGGATTGGTTTAAATGGTAAGCACCCCTGGTGTCCCGCAGTCAATTTTGATGATATCTATTATATATAGCAATCATCTATTTTTCTCAACAAATTACAGGAAAAGTGGCCAAGCAAGTTGTTACTATTCGTCGGACAGCGGCACCGCTTGGACAGGTAGATATTGACTGGTATTCCTATGGAGGGACCATTTAAGTTGCAAAATATAATATTATATATTAAAAGAATAGAAACTAGAATGCAGGAGGCAAAATATGTCAATGCAAAATGAAGGGAAAATTGTGAAGATAAGATAATATGGGATTCAATGGTGGTGTGCGCCTTTAATGCGCCGCCTCTTACTTCTTTTGTCGTGGGTGGTTTAATCCTCGTATCCACCATTAATGTGAGTAGAGTATTCAGTGTTTGTTGGATCCAGAGGACTTTTTTTCGCGGGTTCTTCTGTTTTTGTTTTTTTTTTCATTAAATAAAAAAGGAAAAAATTGGAAATACCCTGGAGTGGAGCCTGGCTTCTTTCGTGATTGTCCAATGTTGTGATCGATAAAACAGTGAAATATTAGACATTACTGAGCTCCAGCACTAAATAATAGTCTATTGTTTTCATCTTCATCAGCTTTCGATCATAACGTACTAAACATCAAGATGATCAACCCTGACAACAAACGTATCTACGGACTTGGACTCCGTGGTAGCCACTTCAGTTGCACCGCTCAACTAACCATCGAATGCATGATGATCTCAGCGGCTGAGTACGACAAAGTGAAAGTTCTTCCAGGAGTGATCTTCGCAAAGGAAGCCAACAAGATTTCTGTCACTGATGATCCGAACTCCAAGATTCCAGTAGAAGCGGATTCGTTCACTCACGATGGGAAGAAACTGGGAGGTGAGAATGGGAAATGAGGGAAAACGAAAATAAGGCTGCGTTCATAATGTATGGCAGGGGGGGGGGGGCAGGTGAAATTGAGGGGGGATCGGGAAGATTTTGGTAGGAAAAAGGGGGGGATGGGCAATTTTTGGAAGAAGCTACAAGCCTGGCTTAGCATGACTTTTGCATGACTTTAAGGGGGTGTTAAGAATTATTCTGGGCATTTCAAATTTTCACCTGCTCCCCCCACCCCCCCCCCCCCCTCTGCCATACACTATGAATGCAGCCTAAGTATGGGAGAGGATCGGAAATGGGAATGATATCCTTTTAACCGCAATGCTGGGGAAAACTGGAAGGAGAGAGATGGGAAATGAGGGAGGGGGAGGGGGAGGGGGAGGGGGAGAAAGAAAATGAGTGTGGGAGAGAATATCTTAGATTAAAAAACTATTATGGAAAAAAAAAAACTTTCTAGGTGGAAGAAGCTCTACATGGGTCTCCTAGTTTCCTGTATATGTGCAATCATGAAGGTCAATTTTTGGTAGTCTTTGTACACTAATTTCTATCACATACATCAGATTCCATTTTTTCTCGCGAAATAAAATCTAATTGGAAAATAAATGCCGAGAAAGTCTTTTAGATAAAAATCTAAGATAACTGAATGCCTTAAATGAAATCACTGTAACATCAAAACCCCTCTCAGATAACCCGGCTTTAAGTCACAAATTAACTGTCGCAGATGGAACTTCTTTCTTATCTTTTGTCTCTTTGAACACAGCATCTCCTCTTGGCATTCATTGGTACGATGGCGCATGGAATCAAAAGACATCCTGGGCTTTTGGCGGTAAGTGTGTCTGATAACTGCGTGAACGTGGTACGTGGAATTATCAATTGATTGATGTATTATAGATTCCCCCCAACTCCAAACTTAGGCCAAAATGTACTCGCATATCTTGTTTGTTTGCGTTGTGTGTGTGTGTGTGCGTATTATATCTGAAATCGATTGTAAAATTATCAATTGAATGATGCATTAGAGATTTATTCACCTCTCCCTCCGTGAACCCAAACGTGGGCGACGTGAGCCAAAATTTTCTAGCAAATGTTGGATTTTTTGTCGGTAAGTGTAAGACTGATAACTGAAGTAATCAGTTGATTGATGCATTAAAAGTAAGGGTTTATTAGGGACGCTAATTAATGTTTGGCGGAAGCGCTCTGGCAAACCAACGACAATGAAGAAGAAATTTAATTCTACATCAAATCAATGTGCTGTATACTTTAACGTCACGCGTCACGGCGCTGCGTCATGATCATTTGACCAATCATACATCGAATACTATTTATCCAATTAGTGTCCAGTATATGAACATGACAAAGTCACGACACAGCACGGCATGGCACGGCAATGGCCCAGAAGTTGTTTCAGGGCTCGATGAAATTAGTTTTTTTATTTGACCAATCATAGATCAAGTTGTAAAAAACTGATCATCCCGGTAACCTCCCTTCAGTCACAATAATCTACACACCACAGGCATCCCGCCAAAGAAACCATCACCAAACCCTAAAGCAAAGAGATGCATTTACGTTTTGAATAACTGTCTGGCTATTTGTGATTTCAGAATAATTCCTTGTCGGACTTTGAAGACGAATGTTGTCCAATTGATAATGATCAATCATCAGCACCACAGATAATAAACTGAACATTAGGCACCAATATAACAAGACGTTAAAATAGATCAATAGGATGGAATCAGTAAGGCACAAGTACCCTTCGTGGTCAGTCAGGCCACGCATGCGTAGACTGCTTGTAGGCCCCGCCAGAATGGATAATTCTGCACTGCCCCTAGTCAGAGGTCGTAGAGCCAATATTTACTTGCACTATTTTTAATGTCTTCTCTAGACACCTACGGGTACGAGACTGGAACTATGCGTGCCTAACTGATGCAGGCGACTACCCCATTTCTGTAACCACCCCACCCTCTTCCCCGTCTGCTTGTAGCTACAACAATCACTCCCCCCCCCCCCCCAATCCTTCCACCAACAATCATAGGGTCTCAAAATGTACGAGACGATTGTCCTTTTATTCGTTTACCAGAATGCTGCATCGCCATTAACTTTATAAGTTTAAAAAGTAGTTAAATTGCGTGTTGCATCACATCAATAGGATGTGTTTTTAGGTTCATATACCTAAGTTGTGTGGTATATGTTTGCATGACAGTTTTAATGTGCACAACGATGACTGAAATAATATTTCAAATAAATACACAAAAAATACAATCAATTTGTTTACTATATTTGTAGGTTCCTCTTCTTCCCTCTGCTTTGTTTTTCTCTCCTGTGCTTATCCTTTCCTCTGCTCTCTTCTCCTTTCCTGTCCTCTTCTTCGTATTATATCCTTTCCCTCTCCTTTCCTCTCCTCTCCTCCTCTCATCTCTTTCCTGTTTTCTCCTCTCCTCTCCTCTCCTCTCCTCTCCTCTCCTCTCCTCTCCTCTCCTCTCTTTCCTCTCCTCTCCTCTCCTCCTCTGCTATCTTTCCCTCTGCCCTGCTTTCCTCTGAGCTCTTCCTCTCCGCTCTGCTCAAAATCTTTCTCCTATTCTATCCTAAATTCCAGAAAAAAAATCAATTTCTTGTTCTTTCATAATAAAATACGAGTACGATAACACCCATCATTCTATCTAGCTATTGTTCCACTCTGTCATTCACTAAAAAATCTTTAGAGCATCAAGAGATCGAACGTTTTCCGTCGACACAGAAAAATATTTAAGAATGCTATACAATTTTTAAAAGTTTACCCGAACAGTTAAAGCATAAAAAATCCTTTTCCCCGCTAACTATTTTAGAAGGAATATATATGCTTTTGAATTAACCCTCTCCCAGTTCGTTAACCTAGATTGAACTTCGTTTCCCCTCCCATTATCCCTCTCTCCCTGTCTCTCTAACATTACTATTAGAGAGATAAAAATTTGCAAATTCTACGACGGCGACGCAAATAGCTTTACTTCGGGATTTCTTGTTTTAAAAGTCTATCTTTCTTGTGGATGAGTTGACTTTACTGACAATGTTTCGAATGAAATCTCCAATGTTCAAAACCCCAAAGAGATATGATTTCAACTTTCGGTTGATGTCGGCACCGTAGATTTTGAAATCTCAAGTCTCGGCTTTTTTTTTATTGGAGGGAGTAGAGAGTGAAAGAAGTCGAAACGAGTGTTTAAGGTTTCTCTAGCTTGAACTGTAGACCTCTCCATCTGCAGTCAGTGTACCAACCAACCAACGTTCTACATTTGATCATTCCTTGAGTATTTTTGGACAACTTTTGATGCCCTCAGATACAAATATCTCCTAGTGTGGACCTGTCTAGCTTAGCTTTTTCGACTCGTGACGTCAAAGTGGCTTAAGGTATGTGACGTTAGGTTGCCATAGAAACGAACTGAGGACAGCGAGTTCTGCATGACCAGTAACAATTTTGTCAGAGTAGTACGACTATTTTTTAAATGACGTCAGAACTGGTTGCAATTATTGTGGTGTGGCGTTATAAAAACGATTTTCAATACACAATAATTGGATGGCAAACAAAGCCTTTGTCAAAATGTTTACTTCTTATGAATGAATGATGACGTCATTATTGTCTTCAACGTTTCATGCTCCTCAATCAAAGTAGGGCGTTGTCAAAGAGATGGTGTTTAATGTTTACAGTTCTTGGGAGTGGTTAGAAAAAATGCATTTGTAAGCCTATAACGAATACTCACGAATGCCAGTTTATAGGCCAGTATTGAAACTTCTCTGTGATGTCATCCGTGTCGTAAAAGTTCCCGCTCGTCGCACGGAGACGTTGTCATGGAGACGGCTCCATTGGAGACACAGCACGTGTTTGAAACGCCGCCGAAAGTCCTCCGAGACCAAGGAGTAAATGATGGGGTTGACCGAGCTGTTGGCGAGGAGAAGAGCCGTGCAGATGTTGTAGATGGCCCAGATGTACTCGAAGCGTCCCACTGGTACGAAGACAGAGACGATTCGAAACACGTGGAAGGGTAGCATAGTGGAGGCGAACGTCACAACCACAGGAATGAGAATCTTGAGGGCTTTGGTGTTCTGATCGTCATGTTTTCTGGCCTTTTTGCTCTCCTTGTTGTACTTTTTCCCCACCAGATTCCTCATGTCTTTGTGTAAGTTCTTACTGGCTCGTATTTTCTGCGCAATTTGAACATAAGTCCACAAGATGATCGCCATGGGGAGAAAATACCAGAAAAATGACAAGGAGAATATGTATAAAGGGAGGGTGATATTTATCATCGGCCAGTTAGGTGTACAGTCGATGGTGCCCTTTCCATGGACATCAACCAGGTACTCCATGACGAAAAACAGAGGTAAAGTAATATCAATAAATGCGAACATCCAGATGAAGATGATGACCCACTTTGCCGCTTGAAGGGTCTTTTGCGCGTGGATACTACGCACAATGGCCTTGTACCTGTCGATTGCTATAGCAACGATCGAGCCAATCGAAACGCCGAAAAATATATCAGAGAGTGGGTAGATGATTTTACATGTAAAGTAGCCCAGAGGCCAGTGGATGGGGTCTTCATTCTTGACAAGAATGAACGGATAACAAATAGCCAAGATTCCGAGATCAGCGATAGCAAGATTTAAGATATAATAGTTAACAGCCGTGCTGGCTTTGCGGTTGCATGAGGTAATAATCACAACCAAGAGATTCCCCACCAGACCGACAGAACAGATAACTGCACTTAGACATAATCGGAAGATCTGCACGCCGTACGGCTCGAGTTCTCCACGCACGAGCGGCGTCGGGCTAACGTCGGACCCGTTCGTACGATTCGGTAAAAGCCCGGATATGTTCGTAATATCCATGATATGAAGTAAATGACCTGGTCTATCTCGTTAATGGAACAGTTAGTGCACCTTGGAGATGTATGTCTTAGAATCCGGTCACTTTATACACCTAAAAACCGGAAAAAAAGCACAAAGGTTAATCGAAGTGAAAGATCGATCTTAAGTAGTAATCTCTTTCCTCTGAGGGAAGTTAGCTTTTAATGATAGTGGTCTGCAGGTGGGGGCGGCGCGGGACCGAGTTAAGAGGACATTAAAATTTTAAACCTTTGTTGAAGAGGAAAAGCTAGAGCTGACCCAGAATTTTCAGAAGGATCATGAACGAAGTTATCTGCGCACAATTGAGTGGGGGTAGGGGAGGGGAGAGGGGGGGGACATGACGTTTTCAAGTGCGTAGGAGGGAAGGGGGGAGGGGTTAACAAAGTGTTAAGACATCCCCACCCCCTCCAAAACAGGAACCGTACCTTGTCGACTGACAACGGTTTATTTCTCTCAATTTTTTTACCCCAACTCTAACTACCTTGAACCAAATTTGAAGCCAATAACAATAAGATCCAAGGGCACTAATTTCAGGGTGTATCGCCATATAAAATGAAAAAGACTTCTTCAGTCATTGAATATAGTAAAGAACCTACTAGGTTTTATTTTATTTTTTCCGGAAAAAAAAAAAAAAACGAGAGGCAGGGTGACATATGGTACACGGCTTGTGGTTTATCTCATCGCGAATCAAGCAACTCCCAGATTCCAAATATTTCGAGCCGCAGCGGAGGATGCAAAAGCTATTTAAACCTAAAAAGGAATATTAAAATAAACGAAACAGTCACCATTCGAGATGCGCACTGCAAATCTGATATAAAATTATTCTTGAAATGTTTGTTTGAAATGATGCTTTTGGCTGTGGTTGTGATTGTTGTGATGTGAAAAATATTATTCGTTCTAATTTTGTTATTATACACCTTTTATGATTAATGAATCTTTGTTCAATTTATTTTTCACCTTGTTTTTCTCGTTTATTACAAACCAGTACAACTTAAAACGAAAGTCGGCAAGAAAGAAAAAAAAAAAACGAGGATAAAATGAGTGCTCTTTTGAAACAATACAAAAAACAAAAAAACAAAAAAAAAAACAAAAAAAAACAAAAAAAAAAGGTCAGAAAAAAGCAGGTTTTGAAAACACCTTAAAAACGTTAAAAGCAAGAATTAGAAAAATAATTCAAAAACTAATGGCCTATGTTCTTGCAATTTAGGATTTTGTTTCCTTGTTTTTCTATTTAGTTCGTAAATTAATGTTGTGAAAAACCCCCTTACAAAAACCGTCGCAGGCGAACGAGTTGTAAACTACTTCAATACATTTTAAAATGATCATTTTTAAAGCCTATGTAACCTTATGTAAAGTACAAATTATTGCGATTTTAAAACCTTTCTCACCTTATTCGTTCCTCTTCAAAAATGTAATTAAGCTTGACTGTGAAAATCGGTCAAATGAGTTCACATCTGATCTAAGTTTGAGTTCGAACCGTTAGCCACGGGTGCGCCGGACTTCAAATACAAATACCTAACAAACCATATAAAATAGAATGATGTGCCTACTCTGTTTTGCTTACAACTTCATTACTCAAAGTAATAGTCAAACTGCCTCCAAACCACTTACATCAAGGCTTTTATTYCCAATGTGTTATCATCTACGAATATGCAAATTGCTCGGGGTCTTTTTGGCAGTTTTTAGAGTCGTTCGTCTATCGTTTAGTCTCTAACTTTATCTAGAATTTTCTCTACAAAAAAATCTTTAAAAATCTTTGCAAAAAAATATTTAAAAAAAGGAAAGAAAGAAGATTATTTAGCAAAGAGATATATTCGCTTATTGATTATTTACTTTAAATATGAAAAGCAGATTTCAAGGGTCTCTTAAGTCCTTCCTGGAAAAGCGAAATTGAAAATTCTACATGCATTAAAACACTTTCTTTTAGGGTAAATTTTAAAATTAGTTATAAAATCCGGAAGAAAAAGAGTTATAAGTTTAATAAGAAAACAGATTAGAAGAAAAAAGAGCGTGGAAAAATAGCGTTATATTGTTTTATGAAAGCTAGAAGAAAAAAAGAAGTGCTTCTTGAAAAAAATTGGATCCTTACCCGTTAACACTAAGCGCTTGAATGATATCTTTGAGTGAACAATCAATCGACGGAGATCTCGAACTACTTCATGCAATCTTCACTCGCTGAGTGAATCAAGAAGTTCAGAAAATGCTTTAAATGAAAATTAAATCCCCGTAGCAAAAATGAGAATATAACGCACAAAATTACATTACCAAAAGGAATTATTTTCCTCCTATTTGCATAGGATATAGGCCAAAAAAGTTAAATCCTCTAAAGAATGAAGCGTAATTCTATCTGTTATGAAATTTCAATACCAATACCTCAATCATTAAAATACCTGTATTTCTTTAGTATTGTACGTGTTATCTGTAATTCAATTTCAATAGCCTGTATTTCTTTCCTTTAGTTAGTACGTACGAAAAATATCCAAATATTAAAAATTCGTAGGCTTTTTAAGCGATGCTTTTACCATCGTGTTTAGCAGTGAAGTAATTGTTATTTTTGTGAAGCAAACTAGATCGCAAGTGGGGGCATCATAAGTCATTTGGATTCCCATGTTTTGGCTTCGTTTTCAAAGCATATTGATTGGGCTGAAGGTTAATTAGTAAACTGAGAGATATAGTTAGGAATCAATGATAATTAACGATGTATACATTAATTTCTGAAAAATAAACTTAAATAAAAAAGGGGGGGAGGATTCCATGCTGGATCAGTGCTAAACTATAAAAGCATAAAAATATGAGTAAAAAATATTAGAAAAAAAAAAAAAAAAAAAAAAAAAAAAAAAAAAAAAAAAAAAAAAAAAAAAAAAAAAAAGAAGGAAGAAGAGATAGGAGAAAAGAATGAAGGATACAAATGAAGAATTAACACTTTTCCTTGTCTCCTTCGGATTTTATGATAATTTTGTTGTCCGCCTGGTCTTCAAAGATATGAACATTGGTCTAGAACTTGAATATCTCGTTTTTTGATACTGTCTTAGCGGATAGATTCGTACCTATTTGTATTACCTTGATTGTTATCAACTGCGACAGGAATCGTCACTGACCCACAAAGGTAAAATTCTGATTTATTTTTCGTCGTGCAAGAAAAGAGAAATCAAGTGAAAGTTCTTGAAATAGAAGTTAAAGTAATAATAAGGAAAGAGGACGATAAACCGAAAAAGGAATATGGAAATTCATAAAGAAAGATCGGTAGATAGCGGTTTAATTGCATGGAGCGCCGTAGGTCAGGTATTTGGGTCGTTAAGTATCAAATATAGTTAAGATTAGAGCTTGTTAATGAAGGAAGATAATCAAGTGTGCCACGTATCAGCAGTATGAATAACTTTAAAGAGACTCAACGGCCTTTAGCTTCAAAGGTAAATAAAAGAACAAATGTAAACCTACTTAAAAGTATCAGCAACAGTAACTGAGAAAAAAAGGCAAACAAAAAAAACAAAAAACAAAAAAAAGAGGCAAAAAACGAAACGAGATCCTTGGTTGAATGACAAAGAATTTGTTTCAACATCTTTGGATGAGTAATATTATTTTAATATTAATATTAAAAATGTGCCGAATGTTTGTAAATTTTTGACGCGCTTGGAAGGGACCAATGACAGGTGATATTAAACGGGTACGCCTTGCTAAAAAAAGCGTTCAACTATAGACGGAAATTGCAGGCTTTGATTGTGCAGTAAATGACTTTTGAAAGACATGTTCATAAACGATAAATTGTGTTTTGCTTATTTACTTACGTATATTTCTTAGCGGTTGCAATTTGACCCTATTTTATTCATCTCTGAAACAACCTCTGGGCTGATCTAAGTCAGGGCATGGCCAAATCATAGATCGAACCCTGAAACAACTTTTGGACTAATCAAAGTCAGGGTACGGCTAACTCACAGATCGAACCCTGAAACAACTTTTGGACTGAGGCAGATTTTTTAATTTGCTTATACACTCGATGTAGCATACACTTAACACATAGATCTTTACCGAGTGACAAAAACACATTTCATAACTTTTGGACTGATCAAAGTCAGGGCACAACTATCTTACAGATCAAACTCTGAAACAACCTCCGGGCTGATCAAAGACAGGGCACGGCTAACTCAGAGATCGAAATTTTGAAATATAGCGGATAAACTTACACTGGCTCTCGCGATCGCTATTATACATGGTCATTTAGGGTCTAATCCTTTGCAGATATTTTTACAAATACTGAGTGTTGATCCAGGCGGCCAGGAAATGAACCCACTATACCTCCTGCACGTAAATCAAATTGATGCTCAACCAACTGAGCCGCTAACCGGGTGATGATGTAAATTAACGTGACGCAATAGCCTGGCTTGGTGGAATATTATAATTTCCTAGTCAGTGTGAAAACTAATGTGAAAACGAGCAAGATCATTTGGTAAGAAAATCAAATAATAGTGCAAAATGAAGAGAAAATTTCTGCATCGATAATTAAAGTCCTGCTGATGTGTTTTGTAAACAAAGATGACGAGCTTTTTATATTGATTAACGGAGTTCTTATTGAGTTTCAAATTCTCGACCTCTTTAGGAAAAATGCTTTTTCTTAAATTTCTTCTCGTTTTAAATATCCGGTTTTTGTCGCCATCTTTATTTAATTTTTTAAAATTATTTTTTTCTTGTGATATTCAAAACGAAAAATAAAATAGAATATGAAAACAAGGAAAAATGCAAGAAACGAAATACATGTGGAAAAATAGAAAGAGGACAGATTATTATAATTATTACCACATTATTATATATACCCCTCTGTAAATGAGCTATCAGTGATGATGACTTACTCTGTGAAGATTATTTATCTCTGTCATCTAGAGAAACGGAGAGTAAATGAGAGAGTGAAATAGGGGGAAAAAGGAAGGAAAAGAGAAGGAAGAGAGAAGGAAGAGAGAAGGAAGAGAGGAAGAGAGAGATAGAGACCTAGTTCTTAAAACTAGCTTGGAGTCATCAAACCATTTCCATATTCCCCTATTTCAAATTCCTTTTACTAAACCATCAATCTTAGTCAACTGAAAGAGTTACCACTTCAGACGTGGTTGACAAAAAAACGCTTGCAAAAAGAATCGATACAAGCCGAATTGTTGTCAAAAAATAAAAATAAAACGAATCTCAAATGGCAATTTTTATAGAGAGATCAAGATACTGTCTCGGTAATCGTATGAAGAGAGATCAAGAGAGATTTCTTGCTAGCTTTTAAAAATAAATAGAGGCTAAATAGCACAAGGTCAAGAATTTAAAGGAGCTTGATGAATATCAAACGATTGATTCTTTGATGTCTACCCAAGATTAAAACATAAGCTGGTTACTTATTTTCTGCAGGCCTTATTTTTTCGAGTTTTTTTTCTCTCTTTTATTCGTTTATTTTGTGTGTGCGCGTGGATTTAATCTAAAGTTTTTATTAGGTTCTTAATGAAGACAAGATCGCTTTCAAACAATTATTCTTGTGATGAATATTCTGCGTATCGACTGATCAACGCGGTCTTACAGAGATGAGAAGATCTAGAGGACAACATCAATATATTTACACGGCCGACAAACAAAAACACACATATATATGTCTATATATATTATTTATATCTTAAGTGGCTTACCTGACAAGCAGTGATCATTAGCGATAGAAGATTTCCTTTAAACTCTGAAATAAATAAAAACTCTTGTGAGAGAAATTAATACTTAAGGTGCTAAAGGGGCTGACATTTCTATTCAGTTTGAAATCCTTACGATATTGAATGAATATACTAAATACTTTCTGGCAAGAAAACATTTTACCTGGTGCTGGGTATATATCAAATCCCTTGATTAAAAATTAATTGCAGAAATAGGATTCGAGTGTTGAATGAAACACAACGAACTGAACCCTATAAGTTTTGCAGCTACAAGATGGCTTCCAAAGTTTGGTAGAAACGTTAACTTTTCAGTATTTTTTTTGAGCAGCAAATGTTTTCTCGTAGAGGCGCAAGTAACGCGTGAAAAACTAGGCCAGGAAAAGCCAGGACGGTCTAAATGAACAACAGATGTTCGTCTGCCTCAGCTTAATGCCTGACTATCGATATTGACTTCAGCCTTCATCGTTAGTTCTTGTCATCAAGCTCGTTGGCATGGCAATGTCAATCAAGTGGAGGCCAAGAAAGGGGCTGATTGGAGTGTTGGTAAAGCTGTTCGGGTTTGGTATCTTAATGGAAGATTTGACACCTCCTGCGCACATGCGCACATGCAATGACCACCCTCTCGATCTGGTCATTAGGTAATCACTACCAAGCAATACCAGGTTAGATCCTTTCCGGGTGTGGGGTGGGGAGGAGGGTGCACTTGACACGTTATCCAGCTGCTTAGCAACAACAAAATATTAAGTCTTTCATAAATGCACCAAGAATTAATTTAACTCTCTCTTTCTCTGAAAAAAGGATATAATATTATAAAATGAAATAAATAAATCGATATAAAATTTCTCCCCCACTACATTCAGTTAAGAACCTATATTCAAGATTTTGATAAAACAATAATTTTATTTATTTTATTTTATTTTGCTTATAGCCAACTCTTAGGTTTTCAATAGCTAGTGGGTTAAAGAAAAGAGACTACAAAATGTATCACTGAATAATAAGAGATCAAATAAGAGAGGCTGGAGTATAACAAAGAAAAGAAAAGAAAAGAAAAGAAAAGAAAAGAAAAGAAAAGAAAAGAAAAAAAACCCGCCCCCTAACAAACAATATCTAGGAACAGCATTATATAGAGGTGTTCATATGGTATATATATTTCAAACGTCGCCATCCTCCACGTCCACTTGTCTTCTAGCAGACAGAACCCAAAATGAATAATGTTCAATAATGTATTTGAAAGTGGTGTTGGTAGTCCATTAGTCAGAGTCTATTTGTTCTGGTAGTGGTTGTCGTAATAAAAAGGTCTGGTCTTGTCGCGTTATTCAATGTGATAAGTGCTTCTTACGTAAATATCAACACTTTGCAACGACTAAAGATGTTTTCCAGACCGGATATTAAAATATATATGGACAGCGTTGATTGTAACATCAATACGGGCCGGGATACATCGGGATATTCAAGATAACGCGAGGCAAATACCGGACTGATAAGGGAAGACACGGTATGACACGGGATCAATGGAAATGGAAAACGATGACACGAATGAAATAAACCTCACTGCAAGCCCTTCATGCAAATTAGACTACGCTCGTCTCTCACTTCTGGAGTCTCGGGTTCGACGGCTATCTTCGGACTTGGCATCACATATGAGTACATTCATGTTAAAGGCCCTGTTACACGTTGAAACTTTAGGTGAGGTGTTACACGGCGCAATTTGAAACTTTCTGAAACTTTCGTCGCGAGAAATTTTTACGAAAAGTAGAACCGCTTTCTACTCGTGCAACCGACACTTGTGTCGGGAGCAAGATTCAAGACGAAATTGCGCCGTGTAACATCCCCGTGAAACTTGTCTCAAAACCCCGTTGCAAGCAAGTTTCAGCTAAAATTTTCAACGTGTAACAGGGCCTTAAGTTTATACCTTGGTTCCAGGGATTTTCCTCCGGATTTAGTAAATTCCAATTCCATCTGTGAGATAGCAAAGCCTTGACTTTGAGACTCCCCAGAGGCTGTTTCAGGGTATCGATAAATCTTAAGGTTTTTTTTTTTGAAGGTTGATTAAAATTTCATTAAAATGAGAATGAAATCGACACATGATATGGTCAGAAACATATTTTGTTTTTGTGAGAATCCTCTAAGAACTTAAGTATGATTTATTTGGCACTCAGACGTACAGAACGTCCGCAACTAGAACTCAGACGTGCAGAATATCCGCAACACTATTTCGTTTCCCTTCTTTCTTTTAGCTTACCGGAAAAACGAAGAAAACCCTACTCTGTAATAGCACGTTAGCCTAAACATTTTTAAAGGATTTCCAGCTAAGTTAATAAGATTTAGAAAATGCTTCAAACCTGAGATAAGTACTTGAGTAGATCATCGAAGTAACGTTTCGTGAAGGGGATAAGTCTTGTAAAAGGATTATGATACGACTAGTAATATGTGAGATTTATTAACATTGGCCATAAGTGCTAGAGTTGCCAAGTCTGGGGTCAGTACGAGTTCATCGCAGTTAACATGACGGTATCCTACTTCTAGGTCTACCTAGGCAGGCAGGCAGGCAGGCAGGCAGGCAGGCAGGCAGGCAGGCAGGCAACTGTCACCTTTGCAGCCGTTCTGTGTCACTCCTCCAAACTGTCCATGGTTTGTTTTCTTGTTAAAATAATAAAACTAACCATGTGACTCGAATCAGCACCATGTACGTGATACCCGAGTCATGACTCAACTTTACCGTTTACAAATAGCATAAGTGGCTTGTCACAAATGATCAGTCAGGGGAGGGGACGGTGGAGAGTTCAATTGTACAATTATTCTGCTTCTGATTTTGGTTATGCGTGGTAACGGATAGTGATCATGAAGTGACCTCAACTCCATTGTTAACTGGCCACTTCATTCTTTCATTTTGTTTCTTTTCATGTTACTTTCTGTTGAGACACTCTCGAAATGGCACAACACTGCTCTTTATATCCCCTTTTCTCTTTCTTTCTGCCCTTTTCTCTTTCTTTCTGCCCTTTTCTCTTTCTTTCTGCCCTCTTCTCTTTCTTTCAGCCCTTTTCTCTTTCTTTCTCTCCTCTTCTCCCCTTTTCTCCCCTTTTCTCTTTCTTTTTCCCCTTTTCTCCCCTTTTCTCTTTCTTTCTCCCCTTTTCTCTTTATTTCTCCCTATCTTTCACCCTACTCCTTTTTTCACCAAATGCAAAAAATCCATAGAACCGAAAAAAGAAGAAAAATAACAAAAGAAACATAATGAAATAAACCTGTCTGCCTTGAACATTTACAAATAAACATTTAATACAAAGCAACACTGTACGACGCAAAAAAAGAGTGTTTACGTCAAGACATTCTTTATATTTACATGTTGTCACGACAACGCGGTTCTTAATTCGTAGGCAGAACAAGAACGAGAGCTCGATAAATGAGACCGACTTATTAAAAGCTCATAAAAAGCTTGATTTGCCTCTTGTCAAAGCCGCCTACTCGATGTGTACCGCCTTCTCGAGGCGTTCTACAGATCCTGTAGTCCAACGTCAAGTGTTTGACATATATCACATATATCATGCAGCGATAGACGATAGATCACAAGTTAAAGAAGAGTGTCATTTATGAGCTATGAGCTAGGGATATTTTGGCTCTAAATCAATGGATAGCTTTAATTGCAAGTGTATAAAAACTTAGCGTTCAGGAATAGTTTTCGTGAAAGGCATAAACCACGTCAATAGCCAGGTGGAATAGGGTTCCTGTTTACGAACTTTCACTAAGAGCCAGTTGTTTGATCTTGCCGCTTCTAGATATCATTAAAGAGCTATTAGTAACTTCGAAATGGTGTAGGGAAACCGTGTTTAGACTTGAAAATGAAAATTTGTGCCTATCATTGAAAAAGGAAAAAGAAATTAATAATAAAAAAAAGAAAATAGTAAAATGGAAGTCCTATTTAAAAAAGGTGTAAAATCATATTTGGAAAAGTGAAAAACAGAAAGAAGTTTGAAGGCGTTGAGGAGGCCGTAAGGATAGATTTAGATGATGATATTAGGTTTTAAGTTTCGTGGGAAGAGAACCTGATTGTGGAAAGGGAAAACAATGATTGAAATAAAACTAGTCAAAGCACCAAACCAAGGAAGGGAGAAAGAAGAAAAAATAAAAATAGAAACAACATCCACAACAAATTTAATAAGTGCAGGTAACTGAAGAAGTAGTGATTTTGAAAAACATTTTGAAAGAAAATTAGAGACAAAAGTATTGGGCCTTTCGACAACCTCATGTCGTCATTCTCAAAATATAATATCCATTACTCAGCGTTTTTATAGTGAAGAGGTTAATTAAATGCATCTTAATACGATTTTAGAACGAAGCTACACAAATAACTGAAGAAGAGCAAAAATACGATGAGAGGAGAAGAAATGAAAAAGCAATAACAATAACAAAAGCAGCAAGGAGAAAGCGAAGAAGGAAAACGAGAAAAGTACGAGGACAAGGACAAGATGAAGGAGGAGAAGGAGGTCAAGAGAAAGAGTAAAAGAAAAAGAAGATGATTGAAAAGGATTCGGAGTGAATAAAAACAACAAAAACATCGAAAATGATAGTCACCAAAAGCTACTTACAGTTCTTACCAAAAAACAGCCATTTGTCATATCAAAAACTACACAGTGTCGCAAGTCTTTTCACAAATCCCTTTATCAGAAATCCCTTTGATTTGCTTTCTTCTACGGAGTGATTGACGTAGGCAGATTAAATAGGTTTTCGCCTATGAGTTAACGAAGGGGGAGGGGGAGGGTGAGGGTGAGGGGAGGGGAGGGGGACGTAAACTAAAACAGACCGTCTACGCATAAACACACGTCACTGACGACTGCATGTTACAAACGTTTAGTAAACCTTCAAATATAAGCAGTAGCAATTTTTTTAAATCAAGAGAAACTAACTGTACTGGAATATCTTATTTTTGTCATTCTACTTATTTTTTCCTTTGTTTTATTCCTTATTCTTCTTATTTTTCTTAAACTTATTTTTCTTCTCCTAATCTTTTGCTCGGGCTAGTTTTTCGGGCTAGACTCACACTGATGAGCAGGTTAGTGGCAAATTACTGGACTTCAAATGCAATTCAGTTATAATGAGTTAAACAAATTTGACAGCATAAGGGTTCTTACTTCGTGTAGAGGACAAAGTCTAGGTAATTCAATAGCCACAATAAAAGTTTCTATGATATACAATAGAAAGGAAATCGCACGATCTCGAGTACAATTTGAAATTTATAGGTACGAGTGACGTTTTGAAAGTTTCCAAAATTGGACGAGCTTTAGGCGAGTCCAATTTGAGAACGTAACTTTCAAAACATCACAGGTTCCGCATAATAAGTTCATCACAAGTTAAATAATATGCAGCCCGTAAAGTCCTCCACTGCTCATAAATGTAAAGCGCATTGAGAGAATATGAAATGCGCTATACAAGACACTCTTTGTTTTGCAGGAGATAGTATTTTTGTTCATGAATGCTTTGAAAAAAGGAAAAAGGCAATAAGGTTATTACAGCAGTCTGTGGCTGCCAATATCGGCATTATTACTACATTATATTTCATTTTCTTGGTTATAAACTACAATGTAAATTTATTTATGAGGAGCCAATGAAAATAGGTTGTCGTTGTCGTAGTATATTTAGCTTCGTATTTATACAAACTTTTGTTATGAGAGAGAAAATTAATGTTTTTACAGACTAAGCTAGACATCAGTTTTCTAACTACTATTTCTTATCG